TGTGCAAATCCACGAAGGCATGAACATTATAAAGGTTAATGGCCTTCGTGGATTTGCACACAAACCTTCGTGGATTTGCACACAAACCTTCGTGGATTTGCACACAAACCTTCGTGGATTTGCACACAAAACCGTTGAAAAACCTGAACCCTGGCCCTTCGAGGCCCCCCGACGCCGTTGAAAAACCTGAACCCTGGCCCCTCCAGGCCGATTTGTGTGCAAATCCACGAAGGTTTGTGTGCAAATCCACGAAAGTTTGTGTGCAAATCCACGAAGGTTTGTGTGCAAATCCACGAAGGGATTTAACATTTAAATATATATGGTAGGAGAGGTTTAGGGTTTAGGGTTTAGGGTTTAGGGTTTAGGGTTTAGGGTTTAGGGTTTAGGGTTTAGGGTTTAGAGTTTAGGGTTTAGGGTTTAGGGTTTAGGGTTTAGGGCTTGGGGTTTGGGGTTTAGGGTTTAGGGTTTAGGGTTTAGGGTTTAGGGTTTAGGGTTGAGCTTATAAACCCTAAACCCTAAACCCTAAAATTTCGAGGAGTTTCGAGGGGTCACATGCTCAATTTTTTAAACCTTCTTGCCTGTCCAAGATTTCCTTATAAAAAAGGCAAGAGGAGGGTCAAGGGCTCACATGCTCAATTTTCATGAACCCTAAACCCTAAACCCTAAACCCTAAACCCTAAACCCTAAACCCTAAACCCTAAACCCTAAACCCTAAACCCTAAACCCTAAACCCTAAACCCTAAACCCTAAACCCTAAACCCTACCCCCTACACCCTAAACCCTAACCCCTAAACCCTAAACCCTAAACCCTAAACCCTAAACCCTAAACCCTAAACCCCTAAACCCTAAACCCTAAACCCTAAACCCTAAACCCTAAACTAAACCCTAACCAAACCCTAAACCCGAAACCCTAAACCCTAAACCCTAACCCTAAACCTAAGGGTTTGGGGTTTGGGGTTTAGGGTTTCGGGTAAAAAAATTTCAGGTTTAGGGTTTAGGGTTTAGGGTTTGGGGTTTGGGGTTTAGGGTTTCGGGTAAAAAAATTTCAGGTTTAGGGTTTAGGGTTTAGGGTTTGGGGTTTGGGGTTTAGGGTTTCGGGTAAAAAAAGTCCAGCGCTGCGCCAAAACTGCATTCGCTGCGCTGCCCCTTCGGGGGCCCACGGCGCTGCTCATGCTTTTGTCTTGCACGCAGCGCTCACTTTTTAACGAAGCATACACGCAGATGAAATGGCTGCATGCACACACGCACGCACATTTCTTGTGCCGGAAAAATGGAAAGCTTGTAACCCGCAACGAACCACCAACAATGTCAACAATAGTGAAGAGTGCACTTCGCGGCGACTCGCTTGCTCAAGTCTTTGGGGCAACAGTCGTTAAAGAACCTTTCAGGGTTTCGGGGATTAAGGCTTAGAGCTTACTTTGCCCCTTAAGTGCTCCTGGTGTTATATTGACTCTCATGTTACCACTGTGTTCTGTTTGGGGGTTTGTTCTGTTCCACTTCAACCCCACTCTACGAAAAAGAGCTTTCCATTCTCGCAGTCCTTTGTTGCCAGTCTGGGATACTCGTGACCTATTCAAGCTAACACCTCCTTCTCAGGGCATTGAAGGTTATGTTCTTGCCTAAGTGCCTTAGCAAGAGACTGCGGCACATCCTGCAGCGCAGCCAATCGCATCAAGCCACAAACGTGAACGAATGCGTCCCCCATCGTACTGTCTCCCAATCCGTCCTCGTAGAGAATCGTTTGCAGCAACTATCAATCTCTGATTCGACTAGGCATGCCACTGGAAACATCCGACATCTGATACTCGACAAAGTCCAAAAAGCATACTGCATCAGAACATCTCATCGAGCACAGCCTTCGCCCGTTTTCTGCCTAGCATCGCGCTCGATCCGGCTCGCAAGACAGTGACCCGTTCACAGAGTCTGATTCACCCATGGCTCTTGTTGAGCCGCTCGCCGTCACTCGCCCCTTCTGCTAGGAGCCGCTTGCGCCTCTTGCTGTGTTCCGCTGCTTGTCCTGTTTGTTGCTTCTGGACTCGACTCGAAGTCTCGTGCGCATCTCCAATACCGGATCTCAGGCCTGTTTTTCGGATCATTGAAGGGTTAGGCGTTACAAGTAGGTAGTAGGTAGGCTGAGGATAAGATGGTACCGTCCAATTGAAGGGGGTCCTTGTATTTTGCTTCACGTGTTCCGCCTTCCGGCTTAGAGCTGCTTACCTCTCGGGGGCGATGATGGTCTTGATAGGGTAGCAATGCCATTCCTGTAGGGTGGCCACCGCCGTTTCGGGCGTGAGGTTCAGCTCGCTAACGCTAGAGTTCAGGGTGGAGCAACGGCACAAGCGGCGGTCACCACCAAGTCACTTCGGATTCTCGATGCCTCCCCAACGTTCAGCAGGCCACTCTTGAGTGGACAGCTGGCAATAAACCGCACGGTCCAATCGCCAGGTGATGCGGCTCACTCGCGGTCCTGGCATGAATTCCATCCGACGTACGTGAGTCTGCCATGAGAAGGCATGAAGGCAGACCGAACATTACCAGAGGACTTGGACAACTACAGGGCAACTTCTGCAATCTCCTGGAGGCCGTCCAGATTTGCTGTCTGCATGCCTGTAAATCACACTTGTTTGACACTTCCGAGACCAAAGAGTCCGGCACATGTCCATTGATGCCATGGTGGAGCAAGACACCTTGTCACCGCCATGACGATGAAGATGACATGCGGTGGTCCAGGCACTTCGAGCCGAGTCGGGAACCTGATGCAAGCAGACATGTGACCGAAAAGTACGAAAGCCTTGTATCACATACTGAAAAAAGCTAGAGCAGCTGGAGTATTAGTACCTGGCAATAGCAGCAAAGAAGTAGAATTCTGCCAGCGTAGACCCCAGACAGTGAGAGATCGTGTGAAAATTCAACAACAGTTTCGCATTTCGTGAGGCCAGACGTACAAAAGCGATGACAATTTCGCACTTCGCGAGCCCAGACGCCTAAAAGTTTCGCGAGCCCAGACATTCTAAAGCGATGACAATTCCAAGGACGGCGAGCGTGGGGCATATGATGAGTTGACATGCTGCCCTGCCGATGATGTCACGCACCTGTTCAATCTGTGCGGTCGAGATGTTCCTGAAGGAGTCAGGTGATCGACGAACGGAGTCCGTGTGAAAATGTCCCGTCTGACCGTGTCAGCCAGCCTGGAACTAAACAAAATCACATGGCTCCGTCCGAAGCTGGACTCTCGAGCAGGGGAATGCAGCAGTGAGCCGCACCCAAAGGATCCCTGCGCGCTGAGTGTGTGACAAGAAGTGTAGAACAAACGGGGGTCCTTCCTTGTGACTGTGGTAGGCATAACTCGTTCTTTGCCGACCAAACAGCGTCAACGTCTATCACACAGACCTGCCGCGATATGTAGGATTTGGGCCTTAGGTTGGGGTTTGCGCAATAGTCCGGCGGCACTTCTTTGATTTGGGGGTTTGGGTCAAGGGTTTAGGATTTAGGGCTGGGGCTAAGGTCTTAGGATGTAATGTTTAGGGGTTCAAGATATAGGGCTTGGGTTCATGAATTCAGGTTGCGGGTCCAGGGTTTAACGTTCAGGGAACCGCGACGTCGTCAAAGTTGATCACATAGACTTGCGCAATTAGTTTCCGGGCTTTTGGGAAGTACAAAAGTTCACAAAGAATCAAATTGACTCCAAACACCAAGCGCGGTCCATGAAAAATCTCGAGAAAACAAGAGCGGACCTCCGTCCGGGTCTTTTGGGAATTACACAGGTTAACAAAGAAACACATACCGCGGACAATGGAACAGAGACCTTGCATAGCTTAGCCGACTGCTTGCAAGGAAAACTTGGCATGCATCGCTCTTACAATTGTAACACCAGGCTAATTGCATGGGGGGGGACAGTGTGCTTCTTAGATGTTCTTGGGGAAAAAGACTCCCTGCACCAAGCGCGGACCGTGAAAAATCTCGAGAAACAAACGCGGACCTCCGTCCGGGCTTTTGCGAATTACAAAGGTTATACAAGGAAACGCACACCGCGGGCCATGGAACAGAGACCTTGCATAGCTTAGCAGACTACTTGCAAGGAACCCAGGACGACTTAGCATGCATCGCTGTTACACTGGTATACCGCCAGGCCAAGCCATTGTAAGGGGGGAAAAGGGGTTTCAAGCCAGCGTGCTTTCAGATGTTCTTGGCCCGTGGAACCTGCTCCGGAACCCGCTCCGGAACCGGCTAACCCGCTCTGGAACCTGCTCCGGAACTTGCTCCAGAAGCCGCTCCAGTACCCAAAGGCTGGAGACCCCATCGCTTCGCTGTGGAAAAAAACATCACAAATACCGTGCTGACCAGATCGGCTCCGGTACCTGCTCCAGAACCCGCTCTGGAACCCGCTCCGGAACCCGCTCCAGTACCCAAGGGCTGGAGGAATGGTGAAGACCCCATCGCTTCGCTGTTGGGGAAAAACACCACAAATACTGTGCTTTTCAGATGTTCGTGGAACCTACTCCGGAACCCGCTCCGGAGCCGGCTCCGGTACCTGCTCCAGACCCCGCTAACCCGCTCTGGAACCCGCTCCGGAACCTGCTCCGGAACCCGCTCCGAAACCCGCTCCAGTACCCAAGGGCTGGAGACCCCATCGCTTCGCTGTTGGGGAAAAATGAGGCATACTCGGGGGTCAGGGCTTAGGGTTTTAGGGTTTCGGGTCTGCCTTCAAAAAAGGGACCCCGAACTCAGAGCATGTCGAATTTGTGCTTTCATTGGGTTTGGCTCCTGGCTTTATGGCTTCAAGTTTTGCGTGCGAACATGCACACGATACAAGGCTTGATCGCGTTCTGCAACATCCGCCAAACGAGGGGGAAGTGTAGTAGTAGCAATACCAGAAGCAGCAGTAGTGGTAGCAAATTCGTATCCAAAAAAACTATGAGAGTACTCAATACGAAGAAAGAGGTTGATCATCATTACAACAAATAATCGAACCAGGTCGGCAGCCTGTCATGCGAGCTCGGCTAGGAGGACGGAGTTTCATGCCTGCGCGAGGCGAATTCCGCAGGCATTTTTTCCGCGCTGGACATTTGCGACGGGAGCATGGGCGCATAGCAGCATGCAGCAGATGTGCAGGGACATCGAATACAAAACCTGTTGTCCCTTCAAAACTGGTCAGCTGATAGCGTGCAAAGGCTAGTTTTATGTTCGCCACAAGAGCAGCCAACTTCTCAATGTGAGACACAAGGTCTGGGAGCATCTTGCCAAGGATGTGCAAAGGATGCAGAAGGTACGGAGAGCTGGCAGTGTACAAGTTTGCCATTCAAGGCATCCCCACGTTGGGGGCAGCACATCCTGCCTGTCACATGGAACGTAAGAGTTTCTACGTCAAAAGGCCACTGCGTCATGCATCGGTCTGCCATCGCGCTTCCTCTCAGGCACACTTGGAGTCTTCTTGATATGCACGTGCACACCGGGAGTGTAGGTCTCTGCAAGACTGCTTGCAGCACAGCACCTCTTTCCATCTCCTTTGTTACAAGCGAATTAAGTTCATGGCAAAGCTCCAATCCTTCTGCTTCACAGCCGCATCAGGCCGATGATTTCGGAGCCTCATCGATGTACAGCTCAGGAGAAAACACTCGAAAAACAACCCTCCTGAGAAATTGGTTTTCCCTTCGCGGGGCCGCCGGGAAAATTAATCCTCTGGAAAGACACTCGTTCAACAGCACCAAGCAAAGCGCTGGCAACTGGCAACTTCAAGCTGTCCACCTTGCGCGGCATGAAGGGTGTAGCAGCCCAGGGGTTGATCGCGTGCTGGATGGTGCCTCCAGAGGCATCGCGCCGTCTTTGCATCGCACCACGACAACACACAGAAATGGCGCACTGGATGGGCTAGCAGGCTACTTGCATCTCCGTTGGTTCGTTCATCACACATAACCGAGACTTGCTGACACATATTCCTGTCGCCTGGAACACATATCAACTCCCTGAGCCGTCGGATCAGGTGCAGCCTCCTTTGATGTCACAGTCCTGCGTGGCAGACTGAAGCAAACCTGGTCGCAGGCCGAAAGTTTCGAAGATACTGCCTTAAATCCCAAAAAGCTGCCTTAAATCCCGAAAAGCGTGCAGAGGGAAAAGTTTCAAAAACTTGCCGTTTCATCAATGAGGGCTTGACAAACTGATAGATCCAAGGATGATGCAGACTAGAATATGTTGGTACCACCAACCCCCGACCCCATATGTCCACCGTTTTGGGGTAGGTTGCTGGGTTTGGAGGGTGAGTCCCTTAACATCCTGGACTTGATATTGGACATTCCCGGCTTCTAGGCCCCCCTGGAATCCTGAATCACGAAGCTTGATCGAGCCAACACAACAAATCAAAGCAAAACGAAGAAGTTCAGCCGCCCAATCGGTTGATGAGCTAACGAGTTGGCGGGTTAGTTGGTTAACCCAGTCATGGGGCCAAACAGGTGGGGTTCATAGGTTGATAGGTACTTGAGTTAATGGGTGAAGTTTCTATGAAAGAAGATGGATGAGAACGAGGGTTGCTGCTTCTTAAGCTGGCTTGTTGTAAGACAACCGATAAAAACAATCAACATCACAGAGGCATTCATGTTACAGCACGGAGCTTCCCTCAAAAGTATGAAGAAGATAGGTTCCGTGCTCAATATACGGAAACAGAGATAGTAAGGGAGATACTGCCTCCCTCAAATACACTGGAAGTAGAGGGCTTTCTTACAATTAGCGGAACAGGCTTTCCCATCAACATCTGGAAGCTCTTCTATGCTGTTTGCTTGACTTGTAGCTACCGAAGTCTCCCTCAAAAAAACATCGAACACACAAAGCACATCCCATTTTGCACCGTTTGCATACACCTCACAGTCATGAGATTTACGTACTTCTTTTGCTCGAACCCCAACAGGTCAAAACATTCACAAGGCCAAAAACATTTGGATGATGGGCTCACCCAATCAGAGGGTCAAAATGACCAGCAACTATCCCTTTGTTTCTGTTTGCACACCACCATAGAAGTACGAGCACATGCCCACGCAGAGTGTATTTAGGTCTTATTGTACGGGGTTTTCGGGGACCCTAGCCACTCAGCGTGCAGACTACCAAAAACGAACATACTACGGGTGCGACACGTACGCATGACATGCAAGGGGTGAAAGGGACTAGTACTACACAAATTCGTTAAATAGCATGGGGGAGGGACATGCCTAAGCCCACAGGACATCTGGCAGAATTAATCGGCATTGGCATTTTCGACTTGCTTGTACTATGAGCACCGAAGAGCTTAAACTGCATAAACACATCTACAATATACAGGGGTACAGTAACCCCAAAACTCCAGAAACACATCTACAGCGTGTACAGGCTCAAGCTAAAACTAGGCTAGCTTTTGCTTGTCGAAGGTGGCCTCTTGATCGATACTACATTGACTTGTGAGAAAGAAACCGAATTAGCTGGGTCACCTATCTTTCTAGTTTTAACAAGCTTTGTGGACAAGTCTCTGGACACTAAAAACCCGCAAGATTAAGGGAACTGATGTGGTACGTTCACTTTGCCCTTCCATGCCCAGAAACAGCCGGGAGCCCATACATAGATACATGTGTATGTGTATAAATACATCTATTTACTTCTTCATAAACAGTATGTTCTTGTATACAGAATGTGTAGAAATATTCTTTTCAGAAACGGGATGGCGCAGACTCATTTCCTGGCATCTGTTGGCCATACAATGCCATACAGACTTTTCGAGCAAGAACTTCCACATTTTCATTGTTACTGGTCCATGCTGCGTGCGCTCTCTCTCGGCCCCGGCCTTTCGCTGCGCTCAGGGATCCCAATGCCTCGCACAAGTCTTGCCAACGACGCTGCAATTGTAAGATCAAAAGGAGAGAATCCGCTGCCGAGCGCCTTGAAGGCATAGTAGTCCTCGTCGCAGCTCACATCCTGGGCTTGGCTGCACGAGCGTGACCTCGGCTCTCAGCATAGAAAGGCGAGGTGAAGCACAGTGGAGAGCCCGAGTCTTTGCTCGGACCAGTTCGGCACTAGTCCAATTTCTCTTGGCCTTGCCCCGAGAGCACGGCATTTGGAAGCTTGAATAATAGGCCTTGCGGAGAAAGATTTCAATGACCACAGCATAGTGAGGAACGGCCATGCAATGTTGACATACTGTTGATGCATTGGCTAAAGCCCGTCAGCTGAAGGCAATGCATGATGAAAGCATCTGACTTTCAAAATGTTGACTCAGCATGCGTGCCTGGGACAGCTTGTTGTAGGCGGAGTTCATCAGTTGGGAACACCTATTGTCTTTAGCCCGCACATATTGGGCTTGGCTGACTTGAAAACCATTTCACCACTCCGAACTGTTGAAGCATCGAGGAGCCCCCAGAAGATGCCGAAGCATTGCCACATCGCATTTGCCGCCTGGCATCGGTTCGTGAAAGGTACGAGCAGAGGTATCTTACCTGAGCAGGCATTTTCACGTCCCAAGCCTCCGCAATGGATGCCGTAACCTCGGGAGACCGCAACACCACACGAGTCTCTTCACGCCCGCTGCTGGCGAACCGATTAGGGGCTTAAAGAAGCGCAGGCGAAGACAAGCCCAAGTAGTCAAGAACCCAAAGCTGCCAAAGCTTCCATTTGTACTCACTTCCACCTGACGCTCGCAACAAGCAGGAAGAGGTGACCCAGGCACCCCTTGTCTCGGAAGCAGCTCTCTTCTTCTGCTCCTTCTCCTTCTTCTTCTGCGTGCTTTGAGGCCCCTCTACAGGGGGAGCCGGGCCTCGACGGCCGGTTCGCGTCAGCTCTCCCTCTCTCCCTTTCTCTCTCCGAAGTTGCCTCTGTGCCTTCGCGACAAAGTCGGAAGATCCTGAATGTGGTGCCCTAGCTCAATGTACTAATGATACTAATGACTACTGGTTTAAGCATTTTCATGCTTCGCACCGAGCGGCCTGAAGCCCTCAGATAGGCCGCATTAGCCTTGGGCTGAGGCCTGAATGGTTGTGACCTTCTGATGCTTCTACCATTTTTGCGACACAACAACGCATGGATGCTGTCTCGCTGTGCTTTTTTCCTCCACTTCCCGACGGGCCCCATCTTCTGGCCCTCTTCTGTGTCACTTCGGGAGGGAGAGCGGGCAGTTGGAGGTCGGGTCAGATGGCGGGAAGGGGGGCAGGAGGAGGACGAGGGGCAGGGGCGGGTGTTGTTAATCCCGAGCAGGATAAAAACAAGCACAACGATATCAACAATCATACTACCAGTAACCATAGCAATTATGCATTTTAGCGCCACCCCCCCCCCCCCCCCCAGCTTCGAAGGTACCCAGATCAGGCAAGCGACTTTATCAAGAGACTTGATGGAGTTCATCGCACACTCGCGCTGGGCGGTCTTGTTGGTAAGCCTCAGGCCATGAAGTCGGCATGTGTGGGGTGAAGGGGGGGTGATCTGACTCTATAGGTTTGTTGTTTTGGTACCCGTAAACGCAAACCATAAGAATGCTAAATAATAACTTGAGAGCCCCGAATTTAGGACAACTTATATGCCTCTCATCCATACTTGTTCTTAGACTACCTAAGAGTCCGATAAGGGATTGATACTACTGGGGTTAGGTACAGCCTGACACGAGGCCACTTCACATGCAGCTCAGCCACGGCTCGAAGCAGTAGATCTTGGAGTTGGATAGGTCGGAGAAAACCTCCCGACTTGGCCGTTACTATGACAGATTGCAGACCATGTGGGACGGCGCCTTTGTGATGTCCCCCAGGAGCTGCGCATAGTTTGCCGAGCAGCCAGCCTTCACCTCTGGCAAGGACAGACGCTACAGGGCTTCCAAAGGACCTCTTGCGTTTTGCCTGCGCTGCTTGAGATGTCTTAAGGCTGCGGCAAGAACTTCACCACTGCTGTCGTTCCTGCGCGCTAAGTCATTGGACCATCAGATCATGCTCCATTCAATTTGGCATCTAGTGGTAAATGCACCAATTGCTTGAGAGTTTCTCGCCCGCTCTCACGATTACACGTGCGCGGAGACTTGGCTGCTC